ATTGTTGGGATTAAAGGACAGACAACTAGAAAAGAAACATGGACACCATTTTTATATATGATCACTGCTGCAAAACTCTTTTATGCACAAAAATGGAAAGACTCTAATATACCCACAAAGGAGAAATGGTTAGTGAAGATGATGGAACAAGCAGAGATGGCAAAATAACTTGTTTCCTTAGAAAAAGATCAACTATTACATTTATTAGGGACTGGAAACCCATTATGGACTTTTTGCTGAAAAAAGAAAAAAAAACTGAACTTGTGGTTTGATTATTAGAAAGGGTAGCTTATGGAAGAAGGAAATTATGATGTAACCTTAGAGAGAGAGAGGGTAAAATATAAATGCGTTTATAACTGCTGTCAAAAAGACTGGAAGCTGCTTCTTTATAATATTTCTTTTTCTTTTCTTTTTCTTTCTCTATTTTCTTTCTTTCTTATTCACTATATTTATTTTCTGTTTCTTTTCTAATATTTGTATTGCTTTTATCTTCTTAAAAATTTCCTCAATAAAAATTATATTTTTTAAAAAAGTAAACTATCCTTAGGAACTTGGTTAAAATATAGAAAACATTGCTTGGAATGCATACAAACCTGGCAGAAGAGAATAAACCTGAACAGTTATCACCTTATCTGTTTATTTAAAGAGACTGGCAGTGCCAGTGCATTCTATTAGCATACAATACAGGTAGTCCTCGACTTATGACCATTCAGTCAGTGACCGTTCAAAGTTATGACGGTGCTGAAAAAAACAGATTTATGATCGGTCCCCAAAGTTATGACCGTTGCAAGGCCCCCGTGGTCATGTGATCAAAATTCAGGCACTTGGCAGTCTGCCCGCACTTAGGACCACAAGGGCACTTCAACTCCCCCACCCACCTATTCCCCACCCACCCTTTCGGCCACCCTGGAAAGCTGCAGCCACCCCAACCCAGTCCCAGCCACAATTGTCCTCGCCATCCTGCACACCGAGACCCCCGCCACCCTGCACTCTGCCACCCCAGCTGACCTTCGCCATCTTCTTGCTCCCGCTGTTGAGGAGGCATGCCCACCCTGGGCCGGGATGGGGCTTGCCATTTGCACTGCAAAAAAAAAAGTCCCAGCAAGCTCCAGTAAGCCATAGCATCCAGAAAGCGCCAGCAATCATTTGTTCATCCAGCTGCCTTCTCTTCTAGTTCCCCACACCGGCCTTTTGCCTTTTGCGCCTAGCTGCTGCAGCCAAAGCAGAAGTGCCTCGCTGCCTTTGCTGTTTCCTTTTCAGACTTGTGACCGCCATAATACCCCGGGCACTCCAGCTTCTCTGGCGAACACTTCCTACATGTGGCTCCTCAGCCTTGCCCAGCAGCACAGCACAGCACAGCACAAATAACAATGCCAGACAATGGGGAGGGCAGGAAGAGGTTTCACCCAATGGGAAAGCGCCAGGGATTGGCTCAGGAAGCCATGCTATCCCAGGCACAGCTTTTTCAGTGAATGCTTCCTATACGCGGCTCCCTGAGCCAACCCCCAATTCTTTCCCACAAAGTGAAAGGTCATAAAGTGAGACTACACATGACCACATTACTTAGAGACAGCAATCCCAGGAATCCCCGTTGCC